AACAAACATCAGACGCGGAGAAGCGGTCAGCGCGTCAAAAGAGTTGTTAATGTATCAAGTTACCTCTCTCTGATTTATTTTTCATTGAAATTATTTGCTTGTTTTCAATTAATTTTAGCGTACCTCTGCAATTTATTTTAGCATTGTCAGTTGCTTGCTTCATTGAATTAAACTGAGTTCGTCCGGTTGCAAACAAAGCTGTCTCGCACTACCTAGCAAAACTTGCGAATGATCGAAGTACAGGTACCCATTAGACAAAAGATACACGAAAGTTTGTATCTCCCCGACCCAGTGCAATATATGCGATTAGAATCAAAGCTCACGTGTCCCTTATTTGAGGGACCAGATTCTGCCGTAAATTCGGGATGGGATTTAGAAAAAAAATAGGACTTTTAAGGTGTATTTTGGCGTCATTTTCGGACATTTCAATCATTCCTGAATGATGCGTGAATTGAATGAACTATGACCCGTACAATCTCGATTTGCATATTGTCAATCAAAGGTCCTGTTATTTGGTTACTCATGCAAATTAGGCAATTGGACATAAACATTGCCACGTGTGAGTGTTTTTTATTTTTAACCAGAAAATAAACAGCAATTTTAACGGTGTTCCAATAAGAATTCATTGGTCTAATTTTCACAGAATGTTCTTTAGATAAAAATCTATATAAAAAACGAAAAAAACTATTTTTGATTGAAATTCACAAATAAACTGCATCTCTACCTTAATTCAACTGTAACTGTAACTAAAATTTTCATCTTTTCTAGGGGTTGCTTTGTGTTAATATAATTATTATTATTATACATCTTTCACTGTAACACCATAAGTTACAGCAAGTCGTAATTTTGCGGTATTTTACGGTGTATTTTCATCCTACCATATAAGAAAATGCGAATTCCAAATATGGAATGATTATGCGCGTAAGCGCTCTCTAGGAATAGTAAAAACAAACATGACTGCCACCAGGGTTTAACCAGACTCCACACAATGAAGTTCGCTAATTCTGTTCGCAACTTGTTGGATTTCGGCATTCCCATGATGTATTCTTGGAAGGAAAAGATGTATAATAATAATAAGGTTAGGTTATTATGAGGATACCTCAAAGTATGCACTCAGACTGTACGCCGAAGCATGGATCTCCGCTGCGCATCAGTAGATACTTCCGCTCTACTGTCTTCGTGCATACTTTGAGGTATCCTTCTAATAACCTCATATTACCGGTATGAAAGTATAATACATCTTGATATCCACTATTCATGTAGATAAACAATGTTGTATGCTTACGCATGATTTCACTATGCTCGCTATTCAGTCGTTATCTGTCACGTTATAGTTCTCAATGTGAAGCTAAAAATTAATTGCTGAAATGAAAACATTTCCCCCCCCCCCCAAGACTGGGGAATGCTGGTATCGCCTTTGGGAATGGGTGAAATTATTCATTGCACTATACATTAAATTAATTTACATGAATGGGGAACACATCCACGGTAAAACTAAGTTAACACCACTGATTTTTCAGGCAAAATTATAATTAATAGGTACTGAATAAATTAATGCAACTGTGGTCAAAACTGAGACCCCCCCCCATTCCATCTAGATATAAAGATCCTTGGTGTAGTATACCTAGATCACGCTAGATATAATATACTGTAAAAAGATTAATTATTCACTGGATTTTAATTTTGCTTATTTCGCTGACTGCAAAATGCGCTAAATTTAAACCCAGGGAATATATAAAACTTAGTATAGAACACATTATCTAAGTGATGAAACCGTGAATTTAAAACCCACTGAATATGCCTGAAATGGTAAATCAGCGAAATTTAAACTCAGTGAAAATTAGTCATTTTATAGTATATTCGAAAATTACAATAATCACAATGGATTTACCCAACAATAATATTTTTCAGATGTGTTCATCATTTTATTCTACGGGATCATCTCAATCTCAGTGGTTGAGGTATTAACACAAGATTACTCTGGTCAGGCAGGTGAAAAAAAAACACTTCACTGCTCAGGCCTACCTAGCTGACACAGTAAAACCAAAAGTCCAAAATGACAATACAAACTTACGGAGCATCAATTATTCAAGCACGACCTCGACTCGATTTCTTCCTATATAGTCAAAAACTCTGGTGATTATGTAAATCTCGTCCCAAACGTGAACAATGAGAAAAAGATTGAACGCCCACAGTAGACAGAAGAATCCTATGGAAAATGTCAGCAAACGCAAAACGTCAAGCATGACACATTTTTGGGAAAAGCAGATGACGCATTGTAGTAGTTGTAGACAGTGCTTTCCAACACGCTGGATGGTTTTAAAAAAATCGCGAATCGGACGTTCAATTCATGAGGTCGATAAATCTACTCTCCAAAAAATTGGTGTTGGATAACAAAACAATTTCTAATACATTTTTGGTTGATTGATATAATTATATATTTCACGAACACAAGTTTACGAATATACAAGTGTGTCATTGTCACGTGATCAACAGGGCTGTCTTCTGTACTTTTGTAAATAATCAAGTTTCTTCTTGTTTATTGTCATACTGAATCTTCTAAGCACCAGGTGGGTTGTAGTCGGTATATTCATCCATACAGTAGATTTCGAATCTTACATGCATGTTAGGTAAAGTAAGGAAAAATGTGTGCTCTTGCGTGCCAGTCTGTATCATGTTGAATGTTGTCTCTCGGAGCTTACCAAAGGGAATCGTTTCTCATTCCCGGATCAAGCCTTATATTGCCCTGCCTACATCCTGCCTCGATACATTATCCTTTGAGGTTCTGGATTACCAAACATTTTCATGTTATTTTGAAGCTTTCTTTTCATTTTATTTTATTATTCCATAGTTAGTTACTCACGTACATTAAAACATTCTATGGATTTTTGCGTTGCCAAAGAAATCACAACCTTTGAACCCTAAAGGCAGTACAACATTTCCCTAAGAATATCCACATTATGGAATATCAAACATGTTATCTTGAGCAAAATTATATTCCATAAACAAAAAGAAAAACAAAGTGGTGTTCAAAGTTAATCCATAACCAGTCTCCAGTTAATTCAAGCATTTCATTAACATTTACTTCCTTGTTGGAATCTCTGAAAGGTGTGAAATTCTCGTGCATGTACATTCATTTTTTAGCTCCGCTGTCGACTTTGTCGAGCGGAGCTTATCATATGAGTGATTGTCCGTCGTCGTCCGTCGTCGTCGTCCGTCTGCCACTTTGTTTTTTAAATATATGTTGTTTATTGTGTGGGTGTAAATGTGCTTTTGTCAATTTCTATTATTATGCAAATGATATGCAAATTATGTCGTCACGGTGGTTTGAATTCCTGGGGAGAACGCTGCCGTGTCAATGTTTTACTTTTTCGACTTCTTCTTGAAAACTACAAGCCTGAATGCTTTGATACTTGGTGTATATGTACCTTGGGTAGACCTCTCTTAGGTTTGTTCATTTCATGTTGATATCTTCAATTCTCTAATGTTGGTGAATATTTTTGTCATTTTTGGTAAAAAGTGATATTTTCGACTTCTTGTTAAAAACCGCAAGTGCAAATGCTTTGATATTACATATATAGGTACTACATGTGGACCTCTCTCAGATTTGTTCATTTTGTAATGATATCTTTAATTCTCTAATTTTGGTGAATATTTTTGTCATTTTTGGTAAAAAGTGATATTTTCGACTTCTTGTTAAAAACCGCAAGTCCGATTGCTTTGATATTACATATATAGGTACTACATGTGGACCTCTCTCAGATTTGTTCATTTTGTAATGATATCTTGATGAAC